ATTGATCACCTGCCAATCAAGGGCCACAGACTCAGAAGCCTGTGGGAGTTCAGGTGTATTCAGAAGGCTCTGCAGCAAGTCCTGGAACACATGGCCCATTGAAAGGAGACACTGTCACTCAACTCCAACTGATTGCTGCCAGTAGAGCATATATTCAAGTTTTCCAAGAGTAGCTGGAAACTTTGATTTTTAAAAATGTTAATCTTATTTTTCAATTGTTGATAATAACTTTAAGACATTTAAAGCACTGTATGGACCATAAAAACATACCTATTGACCAAATTTGTCCTTTTAGTCAGCAGTTTTTGATTTCTACATGGACTACTAGGGAAAACCCCTGAGTTCCCCATGGATCAGGTAGCCTTGTCTTAGATTCTAGAAGAAACATACACTAGGACACATAATGTTAAAATAAAACACCACAAAGCAAAAGCAATCAGAATTTATATTCTCTCTCCTGGGTCACTGCTAAGCACTGTAGGTTTATGTTAGTAGTATCCAGGCTGTTTCATTAAATGTCTATTCATCTTGTTGGGGCTGGAAGGGGACAGAGAGATCACCCTGCCATGCACAGAGGAGTCCCTGCGTCTGTGTCTCCCAGCTCCATTGAAACACAGAGAGCCCCCATGCCTGGCTGAGTTGGGACCAGGAACCACTTCTCCATTCTCCTTGACTTTGATCGCATACTATTGTCCCTTCAGCTAGATTCTAAACTACCATGGGGCAAGGATCTTACTTCATCTGATGTCCTTCACACAGGGTGTCACAGACTTGCTTGTCCAATGGACAAAACACCTATTATTCCTTTATGCTAACACCATTCATCTAGTCAGTCAAAAGGGTCCAATAAATTTTGAGTTAAAAGTGGTAACTTCTTTAGCAAATTTTATATTCTATTCCTATTAAAAACATATAAGGGATTAATATCAAAAATTTATAAAGAATTTATAAAACTCAACACCAAAATAACAAACAGTCCAGTTAGAAACTGTGCAAAGCATCTGAAGAGACACTTCTCCAAAGAGGACATGCAGATGGCCCATAGACATGAAAAAATGATCAGCATCACTAGCCATCAGAGAGACGCAAATTAAAACCACAATGAAATATCACCCCACATCTTTCAGAATGGTTATCATTAATAAATCAACAAACAACAAGTGCTAGTGTGGATGTGGAGAAAAGGGAGCCCTAGTGTACTGTTAATAGCAATGCAGACTAGTGTAGCAACTGTGGAAAGGAGTATGGAATTACCTCAAAAAATTAAAAATGAAACTGCCTTATGACCCAGTGATTCCACTTCTGGGAATTTATCTGAAGAAACATGAAACACTAATTCAAGAGAATATATGCACCCTATGTCAATTGCAGTGTTATATACAATAGCCAAGATTTGGAAGCAGCCCAAGTGTCCATCAGTAGATGAGTAGATAAAAAAACAATGGTACATTTACACAAATGGAATACTATCCAACGATAAAAAAGATCTTACCCTTTGCAAAAGCATTAATGGACCTGGAAAGTGTTATGATAAATGAAATAAACCAGTCAAAGAAAGACAAATACCATATGATTTAACTCATATATGTAATCTAATGAACAAACTGAACTAACAAACAAAATAGGGACAGACTCATAGAGAGCAGGCTGACAGCTGTCAGTGTTGAGCTGAGGGGTGAAGGGATTGAACAAATAGAAAAAGAAAAAACTCATGGACATGAAAAGCAGTGTGGTGATTCCTGGGGTGGATTCCCTCTGTGGAGTAGAAGGAAGTGGAGGAGGGTATAGGGGATATAAATGGTGTTGAACAGAGATTTGACTTGGGATGGTGAAACTATATACAGTGTACAGGTGATATTTAGTAGAATTGTGCACCTGAAATCTGCATAGTTTTCTTAACCAGTATCACCCCAATAAAGTCAATAAAAAGGAAAAAATTAAAATGTATGAAAGGTAGGCTGGCTGATTAAAATTTAAAAGTTTGGCTAAAATATTGTTCTGTCCCCACCCCTGGCACTCCAAACTTCTATCACATTGGCTATTTGACATTTACTAATCAATGTTATTTTTTTCTAAACAGAAATGGGCTGATAATCTCTTTTAAAAGAGTTGGCACTAGCCACAGTCTGATTGCCCAAAATTATTATTGTGTTTCCAGAAACATTTTTTTAGATAATTAAATATCTGGAAGAAAATCTCCTTAATCATCTCTATTTCCCTGTTGAGTAAGAATAAATTCATGGTGGTGGTGGTCCCACATTTCTATACCACTTTTTATCTGAAGGCTATTTTGATTACAATAACAAGCCAACTTATTCCAATCAACAAAGTAATTCCTCAGAAACTCAAGATGTGTGAGGGTAGCTGAGTCTAAACGCACAAGTTAGGAGGACTGGTCTAGTGGGATAGGGTGACAGTGAGCATGGCTATCAAGGGGAGCAAACACAGTTGGCACACTTGATGGTGGTATTGAGAGAAATTAGACACTTGCAAGCAAGAGGAATGGGACAGAAAAGCATTACTTTCCTTTTCCTCCCCAACTACTCTTTTCTTATTGTTGGTATGGTTCCATATATTTGGACATACATATGAAAATTATTGCATGCCATAATTTATTCACTTGTTCTCTTTAGAATATCCCCCAAACAATTTGGTCAACAGGTTTCAAAGTTTTACACTATTAGTAAAGATACCCCTTTAAAACTGTGTTTGGAAAAAATGTAAATGTAGTGCATATACACAGCAAAATATTTCAGAAAGTATTGAAGGATATAAAACTAAGAGTATTTAAGACTTTTTTCTCCTTTCTTGTTTGCAGCCAGCTACACTTTCCAAAGACATCCACTGTTAATGGTGTTTTTTTTATCTTTCCCTTTTAATGAAACCATGTGTGTATATATATACAGGGTGGGGAAAAACTGGCTTATAAGTTGTCCATACAGAAAATAATACAATAACCAATAAATAATACAACCATAAACAGTTTTGCATATCTACAACCATAAACTTACTTTTGCCCCACCCTATGTGTATATAACTATTTTTTTGCAAGCAGGGCCAATATTATATATACTGTTCTGCATTCTGATATTTTCACTTAAAAAAATATCTCCTTACCAGCCCACATGGTTTTTCATAGCTGCCATTTTTTATGGATATGCCATAATTTTCTTAACCATAATTTACATAATTTTACATTAGTACAGCAGTACATTAATTTAAATGTATTGATGGACATTTAAATTAATTCCGGTTTGGGTCTATTACAAAAAAAAAACAGAATGAATCATATATTTATTTATTCACATATACAAGTATATCTGTTTCATGAACTCCAAGAAGTATACTTGCAGGTCAAAGGCCACTTGCTATTAAATGTTGAATGTATAATTTCATATCGCCCTTTCCAATTATATCAGTGTTGGAACATTTATAAAACCCTCTTCTACAGAGGTACTTCCAGTTTTCACTTGGGCAGAAAGACCAGGCTGTCAATATATTTGGTTCTTAGTGAAAAGACACAAGCACAGCCTCTGGTCTTATACTCAGGAGAACATACCCAAATGTGCCACCCTAAGACAGACCCTGAAAATAGCTGGCACTCAAAAATATTTGTTGAATTAATGAATAAACAAATCATGGCAGTGTTGATATAGAGACAGTATGTATATTAATCCAGTTTTGCTTCAAATATAAAAAACTCATTTAAAAAAGTAAGCATTAACCTCAATTTTATTGTATTCCTATGTTAATGGGAAAGACATATAGTCTGAAGTAGGTAAAGAGAAATAAATGTTCAAGTTCTAACAATAGATATTCTAAATGACCGATTATAATTTCCGTTGGTCCTATTTTCTTTGAATAATATTTGCATATATTTATTTCAACCATATTATCATTAATCTTAAATAGAGGTTTAAAGGTCTTTTATGAGTTTCATTCACTTTTTCAGAAAGTTTATTTTTTAGAATTTGGCAAAAATTCTTCACTTCAGTTTCTTCATCTATGAATTGACGTGTTTGGTTTAGTAGAGGCTCATTGAGCTTCTCCCTTGTTCTAACAGGGAAATCCATCAACATTAAGCTCAAGAAAAGAGTCTGCCTTCAACATCAGAGGAGCTTTGTGTTTCATTTTTTTCACTTCCAAATGAGGATATCTGGTTGCCTTTCTCATTAGATGAAGGGCAAATATCAATAATTAGACTGTCTTTTAGCAAAAGGGGACTGTTCTTTGATAAATAAACAGTTGTATTTCCCTGCATTCCCCACGGCAAAGGCATTTTTAATAGACTTTATATCTATTAAGACAATTAGTTTTATTTGCAGTAACATTACTAACTTGGAAAAGTCATAATTCCAACGGCAATTCTTAAACTTACCTTATTAATTAAGCTTACACTTAAAGAGTACTAGAATTTCCTTTTAGTAAATATTAATCAACTAACATTTATTGAACTGTGACTTTGTGTGAGGCTCATGTCCTTATGTCATCTAATAAAGTGTTAGATAATGGTCATTTTTGTAAACTAAAACAAAATTAAATTCCACAGTTTAATTTCCCAAGTTTCAGGTTATTCAGCCAAATAAAAACCCCAAATTAGAGTTTAACTTTCTTGCATCAGGTTTCCAAGGAGCCTCTATAATTCTGGCACCTGTAATGAATACTGCCTTGGGACTGTTATTCATCAATCATCATGAGATATGTTCTGTGTTTTATTTAATCTTAAGAGACTCTAGTGCAGTGAGATCAACACTAACTTCTGTTTTTCTTCACATTCTTTAACTTGAAATTCATGCATTATTGACAGATATCAGAGAGGAAAAAATTCTCTTGACCTGTCTAAATCTATTCCCAAACTGGTTCAGGGTAGGCTGTTCAAAGTGAGGAGAAAATGGGTTCAAGTGGACAACACTGACAGAGGAATAAGGAGAGTATCTTAGTTTCCAGCCCCAGATGTGGGCTGTTCCCACTCCAGACAACACAAGCTCAACAGACTGTACCTTAAAGATGAATTTTCAGGTGAACTAATATCTTGCTGATATCTTGCTAATATCTCACAGCCCCTCTCCTGGCTCCTCAGTTCTTATTTGTGAAGGCCACAGGCGCTGTCCTGAAGTCTCATTTTTGAAGCTCTTTATATATGGAGTGAAGGACTTACAGAAATCCCTTGGCTTTTCAAGGTCATTTCAACCAAATTAGTAGCAGAATCAGACAATATCTTTCCAGGGACATTGCAGCCTTCCTTCATGATGAGAGATGCTCTAAACATCTCTTTGCTACCCCACCCACCTCAGGACAGGCAAGCTTTTTTTTCTCTCTCTCTCACAGGTCCCATGAGTGATGTGACTTGGCCTGAAACAAGAGAGATGATTTAGAACATGCACTGGATTATACATGTGCTCTGTTCACCTGACACTTGTGAAAAGCCACTGTCTTCCCCTCAATGTGCAAAGGGGACTGGAATGGTGGGACAAATCCCTCTTGGGTGTAATATTACAGGAAGACTTAGAAAGGCATCTTGTTCTTTGGAGTCACTAATCCTGAATAAATCTGATGATGACATAGCATGGTCTGCTTAGTTCTCTCCCAGTTGGAGCAGGAATTGACCTCTGATGAGTGTTTTCCAATAAAATGCGTCCAAGTGAGATCAACTTCTCACTTTAGAGTGGCTCTTATCCTATTACCGAGGGGAACATTTTGTTCTTAGGAAAAATATTTAGAATACTCACTCCTCTGAAAACAAAAATAGCTCTGGTTTTCATCAAATCTTCCCCCTATCCTACCAAATGCATATCCATTACTTGGTTTAGTAGGTTATTAATTTATAACTTTGATTACACATGATAACTCATCTAATATTGATGTTCAAATTTTATCTTACTGAAATGTTAATATTAATGTTGAATCTATAAAAGCAATTTAAGAAGCCTGTTTACTTTAAACTGTATCCCTACTTTAATAGCAGGACCAAATTTTACAGATGAGATTTGTAATTTTTTTTAAAAAAGAGAGAGAGGAGTTAATTCTGAAACCATTGTGCAGGGTACAATCCTATAACAAAGCAACAATTTCAAGAGAGAAAACTCAACTAAAAAATGTTTCCAAGGAGTACATTAAAGTCGCAGAAGTGAAGTTTCATATGCAATATATACATCCTGCTTTTAAAAATACAGTAGAACAATGTAGCAGATGACAGATTACTAGATGATATTTTTCCTCTCCCTCCCCTTCCCCCCTTCTTCTTCCTTTTTTCCTTTCCTACCAGCCTCTCCTCCCTTCCCCTCCCCTCCCTTCCTTTTCTTTCCCATTCCTCTCCCTCTCCCTGTATTCTCTCTTTCCTTCACCTCCCCATTTATCACTGATATTCCAAAAGCCATGAATTTTATTTTGATTACATGGGATTCCTCAGTCTTTGTTTAAACTATTAGCAAGATTACAATGGAAAGGTTATCAAAATATTTCTTATGTGGTGTTATTCTACTTGGTTTATAGCAATTCTATAAATACGTAATCTACTAACATGGAATTTTTGCACAATAAATAACTTGCTAAAATGTAGTTAATTATTAATTGTGTAAATTTAATTCAACTGAAGTTTTAATTTACAAGTATTTGGATGTTTAACTTTGATTTTACTTTTATATTTAACCTGATTGGGAGAACAGGGGCACAGAGAGACTAGGTCACATGACTAGGAAGTGGCAGACTTGGCATTTGAAGCTAGACTGTTCAACTCCCAAGCTCTTATCAAATAAGATGTTCAGTTTCAAGGAAGTGTGTGACTTTGTCTCAAGTTCCAAGTGCTCCCACCATTCATTCTTTTACTGATATAAGAAAGGGACAAAGAAGAAAAAAAATGATAGAACATGTGCTCAGGTCAGAGACCCTCCAAGACTCCTCTTCCTGGAAGGTGGCACAAGAGCAGAAAGAGCTGTCTGTAGTTGAGGCAGGGTCTACACAGGACACTGCATCCAAATACATAGCATGCTCTCCTCAGCCATTTTCAAGTATCACCTTCTTCTTTCTTTTCTTGCCCCCAAAAACCCTCACTGCCCTTTCCCTTGCAACTTTCCTCCCTTCCTCCACCAAAACAAGAACTGAAAATGCTTTCTCCTCCTTAGTCACACCTTCTTCAAATCAAGATAATTTATTATTTTCATTTTCTTGATTAGAGTACATGTTACTTCTGATTAACAATATTTATTTGTCATCATTATTATCTGTTTTACAAGATCCATTGTTCATTATTATTTTCCATTCTCTTCATTTTGCCCTTCTTGAAATTATTTTTCTGATATACATGTCATTTGTTTACAAGGACTTCTTCAGCCACATCCCAAGTTGGGGACTCCTGTTCAAATTGAACTGGTGACAATGACCTTTGGTTAACACTCTATGTGCCACATGTGTGACAGATGAAAGATCAATGTCAATCAGCAAAAGATAAATAAACTAAGAGCTAAAAACAAAGGGCAGTAAAAAATGGACAAAAGACTGAATAGGCAGCCCTAAAAAGAAATTCAGATAGTAAATAAATATTTGAAATTCTGACCAAATTTATTATTAAAGAAATATGAAGTAAAATAGTGACAAAATATTTTTTAGGTTTTTGATGATAAAGAGTGATGACACCTAGTGTTAGGATTGGAGAAACAGGAATCCTTATAGTATGTTGGTGGGAGCTTAGATTTAAAAGTATGTACCATAATTTTCATTCATTATTGGAAAATAAATTGCTTTAATCTTTTAATGAGTAAAAGATTGTTATAAATGTTTTACTGGTGGAAAAGATTGAAGCAGTGTAGGTATGTTTAGGAATGTTTTCTCTCCACCATTTCCTCTAACCCTGCCCCTATTATACTCCTCTCCTTAAAATTATAACCACTTCTAACAATTTGTTGTGCATATTTCTAGTGTTTTTCAATCATATGCATGCAAAAGTGTGTGCATACACACATATTTTCTTCTTATTGAATGAATTCATGTTACTTATATAAATCAACTTCCTTTTGTCACTTAATCTGTATGTTTATGTGTTTTTTTCCACATCAAGACTTACATGACAACAGTATTCCTTTTAATAGTTGCATAGTTTGCCTTGGTACAGTTATAGTGATTCTCAGTAGAAGAGGGTATTTTTTTTCTGTCTAGGGTTTATATGGGCAATGTCTAGAAAAATATCTGGTTGTCACAACTGGAGGGATGTATGTGCTGCTGATTCTTAAGGAGTAGAGGTAAAGGATGCTGCATAACATCTTACAGCAGTCCCCTGCTACAAAAAAATTGAGTTCAAAAGTTAACAGTGCTAAGGTCAGAAAACCCTGGGCTATTTCTAGGTATTTAGATTTTGTTAGCTAATTATCATACCTATACTAAACATCTTTATGCACACTATGCAAGTTGGGGGTAAATCTAGTTTCTGTGGGTACTTCAGCTTATGTAATATTGGAGTAGTCTTTAGAAATATGACTATGAAATTAAAAATATAAAGCTGCTGTGGTCCATAGAATTGAGTAGCCCTGAAGCTTCAGTAGCTTCACAGTACATGATCTCTCTTTCAATTATTTCTGTAGGACAGATTCCTAGAGGTAAAAAAAAAAAAAAAAAAAAAAAAATTTGCTGAATAAATGTCATAGACTGTCCCCTGCAAAACTCATATTTTAAATTCTAATCTCCAATGTCATGATATTTGGAAGTGGGGTCTTTGGGGGTGATTAGGTCATTAGGGTCATGTGGATCATTCACTAATCTTATGAATGGCATTAATGCCCTTATAAAGAGACTGTTCTTACCCCTTCTATCATGTGAGGACACATGCAAAGGAAGAGGTTGTCTATGAACTAGGAAGCAGGCCTTTACCAGACACTGGAATCTGACCTTGATGGTACCCTGATCTTAGATTTCCAGCCTCCATTACTGTGACAAATTGTTGTTGTTTATAAGCAACCCAGTCTATGGTATTCTCACTATTGCAGCCAGCTAACAAAGACAGCTTTTTGTATTTTGAGCAATGACATTAGATTGCCTTCCAAAAAGGCTACTGTAAGTTATTATTTTATTCTCTTATGATGAAAATAATTTTAAGAGGGCAATTTGGCCATATACATCATTTTACTTAGCAAATTAACATAGGAATCTCATTTATGGAAATTAATCCCATAAAATTGTTTCTTATGTGGACATGGCTATACGCATGAGGGTAATCAGAACAGCATTGTTAATCAAAACAAAGAGTTGGAAACCAGTTAAAGGCTAATAACTGGACTAATCAGTAATAAAAATTATGATACAAATTTATGAATTGCTGATATAGAAAGATTAGATATGTCAACCATGCTTTCAATTTATGGGATTTGTTTAAAGCCCATAAACTGCAAAATCTAATGCTTAGGACTTCATAACTCCCAGTTGCCTCTGTGTTTCTTCAGCACTAGCTTTTAGCATCCCCAACAGATGAGATCTAGGAAGGAGATGATAGGAGAAAGATTTAATATCAATTCAGGAGTTCTATTTGGTGCTAAGGTCCTTCTTTCTGAGAGAGAAATTCAGGCCAGTGGATTGGCCCAGGAACAGAATCAAGATCACCTGTGAGTAAGAGTCATGGGACTTATTTCTACATTACTATCTTTATTTTAACAGTGGGGAAGCAAAATTTTGTGCAAGAGCAGCTTTGAAAAGTGCAGGCAGACCTCAAATCCACTGGAGAAAAAGGTTAGATTGGAAATCCTTTTAACCTAACAGATTCTACTAGGCAGCCATTAAAAAGTGGCTGCGGCATATCTCTTGTTTCATAACATGTCATGAGTAAAAAAACAATTATATAAACTTGCCTTTGTAAAATAAATGTGTTTATATGCATATCGATGTTATATGTGTATATTAAATTTCATATATATATGAAAAGTGTAAATATAAATTGAAAAAATATAAAGATCTACACCAACTTTGGTAATGTGGGTTATCTCAGCAATGCTGGCAAACAGGATACTTTTATTCTTTTCCTTACACAAAAGTTCATTGCTTTTTGCTTTCAATAAATATATATATTGCTTTTGTAATTGCAAAGGCAATGAAGGGAAAGAAGAAATAATGCCTAAGATTCAACCCTAGGATTAAATAAATGAAAATATCACCACCCTAGTTAGTGAAAATAACTAAATACAAGGATTTTAGAGAGATGATAGTGGGAACATGTACAATTTTTACTTGAAATTGAGAAAAAATAAAGGCCAATAAAGTATTCTCTGG